AACAATAAAAAAAAATAGATGGTTCTCCTGTGGCACCTTGTCCTTATGGCAAAAATAAAAAATAAAAAACAAAGTAGTATCCTAGTTACAAATGTTTCCCTAGGCTGAGGAGGGGATACTTTTTAGGCAGTGGAAACACGTGGATACATAACCAAAAATATCTGAAGACCCAACTCAGAATTGAAAATAATTGAAAACTAGAGGGTAGTATGTTAAAAAATTTTACAGCAGGCAGAAGAAAAGTTTTTTTACTTCATATAAGAAAGAAATTTGCCAATATCACTTGAGCAAATAACATTATCTGACACCACATAAAAGGATCAGCACTAGTTATTCATATGCACAAATCTATAATTATAGTTTGTTTTCCATTCCTAGGCAGGGATCCCTATGTTGTAAAAACTTTTGCTTTTTTTTTTAAGATAAAATAAAATGAATGCAGGTCATTTTCAGTTTCGTGTAACTTGGAAGAAATAACAAAATCCCAAGCTTTTTATTATTATTATTATTATTATTATTATTATTATTATTATTATTTAACTTGGTGAAGGCTAGATTGTTTTCACTGTGGCTATGAGCATTCTAGGGATAATTATTAACCTTAGAAAGGTAAAAATAATAATAGACAGCTGCAGTTAACCTACAAGCTTCATATGAAAAGCACATGAGGTGTTTTCTGAATGAGAGGCAAAAAATATAGTTTTACAGTCACAGGACTGGCTTCTATGAGTCATAGATGACCTTTGAACACCAATATATTATTAAAACAAACGTAAAAATGTGACATGTCCAAAAGCGAGGAACCAGTGCCAGGTATGGCAACAACCACATAAATCACTAAATAATGGATTTCTTTATTCCTCAGGCCTTAATTTAAGGGAGATTAGCATTTGACAAAGAGTCACATGCTTAAGGGACAATGAACCATCAGGCCCAAGCAGCTATCAGTTGATCTTTGAGAGAACAGGATGAACTCCGGGAAGTAAGAGCACAGGAAGATTGGTTAATGCTTAACATAGATTTAAATCTTTCTGGGACACAGATAGTGACTTTGTGTGGAGTTGGAACCAAGTTCCAGGGAAGAATATACTGCCAATTGTTACAAACCCAAGGCTATTGTGAGGAGATAAAGCTTTGGATTTACTGGTTCTAGTAGTATAGCTCCAAACTCCTCAAACTGACATGAAATGTGTTGGAATAATTCTCTTCCTTCTGTATTATCCACTTACTAACCCAAAGTTGTCATTCTCTGCTCACCTATGTATTGATTTCTCTTCCTATGCTTGCTTTTGTTATTGGTCTCATTGGGACCAATCGCCCTTGTCTCGTTGCTCCAGGTCTTTTACTCCAAAGTTCAGCTCAAAATGTATCACATTTGTGAAACCCCTCTCTGACTAATCTTAACCAGCTTATTTTTTTTTTTTTTGCATTTATGTACTCTTTCAAATAAGCATCCTTTATTCATTATTTATTCTTTATTTGTCATATGTTAGTCAATACATATTGCCATATATACATGCAGGAAAGTGTTAAGGACTGGGGACAGATATACATGATATTCCAGGGTTAAGTATGTTACCATTTAGAAGGGAAATGGACATGTATAAAAAGACCACCTTTAAAAATTACTGAGTTTAGAGATATGTCCAAAATGAAATATGAGCATAGAAAAAGTACTCAGATCTGCCTTAGGAAGGAGCTAAGGAAGACCATCATGAAAATATAGATATATATGTTAAATAATCTTAGATACAAACAATAAGCAAGAGTT